ATTCCTTGCAGCTCCCACCCCATCCCCCAATTTCTGCCATCCTCTTCACAAGATGTCATCCCTGTGTGCCTGTCTCTTGTCCTAATCTTCTTTTATAGGGACATCAGTTCTTGGATTAGGACCTACTGAATACCATTCATGTTACTAATTATAACTGCAATGACCCTAGCACTAACAGTGGTCACATTTTGAGGTGCTGGGTAGGACTTTCAGCCTAACTATGAATTTGGGGGGACATGACTCCACATGTGCCAATGTTTTACATGTATTTTATTAAGTACTAAATGTTATCCTCATTTTAAAGATGAAGAAATTGAAGTTTAAAGAGTTTGGTAGTTCAAGATTGCCCAATCACTAAGTAGCAGAGACGTGATTTAGAACCTAGACACTCTGATTCTAGAACCCAGGATTTTACCAGCTTCACTGCACTTTCTTATTTCTCCTATTATTTTAATTTCCCCTTGACTTACAGTGGCAGAAGTTACTTGTCAGAAACTAATGAAGTTAAGTAAAATTTCTTTGAAAACCTAACACTGCCATCTGGTGGTGAAGACAATTAAAGCAGTTTCTAACTTAGCAAAAGTTGCTTTACTTGCAGAGCTCACTGGCTTTCCCCCTTACTTATGCCAATACAATGAAACAATTATGAATTCTGCTTGATATGCTTTGAGCCAAACACAAGGCATATGAGGAAAAACACAAGGACAGAACAGTCCAAACTTTGAAGTCCTGACAAGATCTAAATTTTTCTGATTAAAAATATATAACCCACCATAGAAACTCTCGCATACACATTCTATGATAATATGTATATAACAGCTTTAATTTTCCGAAATCTATTTATTTTATTTTGAAAAACTGGTTTATTTTATTTTGAAAAACTGGTTTCTCCTGACATCCTTGCTTGAATGACTCATTCTAGACACAGTTTCTTTCTGCTGTTCAAACTCAGGATTCAATTATAAGTTCTGATTAGCTAGCAGTTACTAACCATTGGGCACTCTGAAATTGTTTTTGTTGCTTTTCCATTTCTGGACATGAAGTTTCCTAGGTCTTCATGTGGCATCTTTCTCTAAAGCTTGCTCTCCACCATGAGGTACATGATTTAGAAGTAATGTGGGTATAACATGCTCCACATCAGGCTAGAAAAAAAAATCATATTGAAATCAAATAATTTTAGAGCTGGCAGACACCTTCGACCTAGCTTAGCTAGTCCATAGTATATCTTTTGTTTGTATTTTCACAAAGGAAATATGGGAAATCTTAGAAGAATAAAATTGCTAAATTGGCGTTGGAAGGGTGATGGTCCAAATCAGGAAGTTTTCGTCCTGCTTCCTGTGACTGCTTGGACCTGGTCAAGGTGGGGTCTGGGAGCTGAGCCTGAGCCTGGCCAGAGTCCTGATTAACAGCTCTATCAGTGATTCATTTTCGTCTTGGATCCCAGGCTCTCAAAAACTCTTAACTGTGACATCATGAAAAAGTTGCGTGTGGCACTCAGACACAAGATGTGCTCTACATGTTGCTTATCATTATAGTACCATTATTTACAAGTGATTTTCCTTAAACAGTTTCAAAGGAAGAGAAAAGCCACAGGTACAGTACCAGGAGCTCCCTACCTCCAACCATCTGAAAGTAAGTTGCCAACCTGACATCCTATCATACCTGAATATCAAACGTGCGTTCCCCATCAATGAGGCGATTCTCTCAAGTAATCTCAATACAAACATCAAAATCAGAAAATTGACACTAAAGCATTACTGCCATCTAATCCTCAGTCCCTATCTAAAATTTCTCAAATGTTGCAATAATTTCCTTAAAAGGATCTATAATTCAGAAAGGATGCTGTTCAGAATCAAGCAGTGTCTTTAGTTGTGACCTCTCTTTAGTCTCCTTCACTCCAGAGCAGTTCTCTACAGAGCAGTCTTTCTTTGTCTTTATGACCTTGAGACTTTTAACGTTTGCAGGCCAGTTATCTTATAGAACATCCACTGATGTGTTTCTGTATGATGTCTCATGATTAGATTCAGATTGTGCGTCTTTGGCAGAAATATCACAGACGTGAAGCTGTGCTTTTCACAGCGCATCCCATTGGGGGGGTAGAGTCCAGAGTTCCAATTTTCCCATTATGACCACCTTCACATTATCACTTGACGCAGTGTCTGCCTGTGTTGTTGTCTTTGTAATTAGTGAGCATTTTGGGGAGGGGGCACTAGGAAACTATAAATATCCCATTCCTTCGCAAAATTTCGATTTATTAGTTTATTATTTTATATCATTTGTGATTCATCACTTCCTGTTTTATCTAATGGGTGATAATCCTTCACTCTAATTATTCATTTTGATGCCCACATCCCCCATTTGTCCAACACAGTTTCCTGGGCTCTATGGACCTATTTCCGTCATCCTTAAATACTTGAACACTTCCTTGCTTTCTGGCACAAAAATCTTTTTAAACTAATCTTGTATTTTCCCTGCCCCAGCCATTTATTCAAGGAGCCCTGATTATATTAGTGGAAGACCTATGTTAGCTAGGAGGACATATGTTTGTACATCATAACATATGATCTATACAATTCTAGTTGAAAGTCAGGGAAATTTTCCTACCAGTATCTAACTTCAAGCTAACATCACAAAGCCATCTCCAGTTTTCTCTTTTTTTCATATCTGTAACTCCTTTTTCCGATAGTTCCTCTACTATGTTTACTTAGTAAACAAACCCTCCTGTATGTGCTTAACTCCTGTTGTCGCTGCTACCCCACGGGCTTCCTCGCTTGCTCGGGCTACACCCAGGCTGGTTCTCTAGTTAGCACAGACACCTTCTTCCCCCTGCTGGGGCCTGATTCCCCATTCTGAGCTACCGAGTCCCCTCACATCCCTGGACACAGATGCCTTCCTTTCTTTAATAGCTCCAGGACCCAAGTTTTTGGGAACAGAAAAGAAGGGAAGGGAAAGACAACAGAAAGAACTGCACACAATTAAAAAACAACCTTCAAATTACAGTGATTTCTCTTGTCTTCTGATGTGTCTTCTTTTCCCCACTAGAATATAAGCTCCATGAGGTGGAGTATCTTATTTACTGCTCTATGTCTAGCACCTTGCATACATAGTTCCTGGGACCAAGGACGTATGTTCAAACTTTTTTGGATAAGTAATTGAATGAATAACATGATATAAAACAAGATCATTACAGCACCATGTTGGGAAGGACATGACATACTCTGCAATACAACTTCTTTCCACCTTAGCATGAACTGATGTGTGCCCTCTTTAGCATGGTATGGGGCACATAATAGGTATTCAAGAACTAAGTAGAGAGACCTAAGGAATTATCTGGCACATACATTTCCTCTGTTGTGTATGTCACAAAGGGAAAAAAAAGGCTGGGGACTGTGCTTCGAAGAGATGAAACAGGTTCGCTCAATCTTCAAACAATCCCTGGATGAATAAACTCAATGTTCAATTTGAACATAAACACTGAACATTTAACCAATGTTTGTAAATTAATGAAATGTTATTGTCAGAGGCAGAAATGGAGTTGGGTAAATTCAGGCTAGTAACTCTGAGGAGGAAAAAGGAAATTGAGTACTTTAAATCCAGGGGAAGACTGTCTGTAAACATAACGAAACTCTCTGTGGGCTCCACGGAGATAACACATCAGCCACAAAGGGCCGATGCTGGAGCGCTGACTCTGATTACAGTCTGAAGAAGGGGTCCTCGTTTCAACTTTTAGTGACCTGATTAAAAGTTGTTAACACAATTCACCAACTTCTGTTTATCTGTTACCATGCTTCTTCCTTTTCCCTAGGCGGTAGGAGTGCCTTTCAAACAAAAATAACTCAGTTACCTCCTATATGTTTGGTAAATAAATATAACGAGATTTTCAAATTGAAATTCTTAGGCTGTTTTCCCTCAAGCTAAAAGATGAATCATTCATCTGTTCGACAAATAATGCTTATGCTGTGTTGGGTATAGGAGGTGAGGGTGTAGGATTTCTGCCCTCAAAGAACTTGCTGTGGAACAGGGGCCAAGGCAGAGAGGCACAGGGAAGGATAAGGAGACCACACAGGTCCCCTGATGCTGTAATGAAGGATCCTAGAGCCAGTGGGTTTGAAACAAAATAGGACCTCGGGCATTTTTTGAGTGATGAGTGCTTCAGAACACGTGATCACTGTTTTTGCTGGAAATGTCACCCCACAAAACCTGCCTGTCCACAGCAGGTATGAAAGATGTTTTGTTCTCCACACACTGTTCTTTGCCATAGTCGCACAGGTAATTGGGCCATGTTTACAACCCACCACATTTAGACTATTCTGACCCAGTCTAGCTTACTCTCTACTTTGGGACTCCAGATGGGAAGCAAAGTTACAAGCTTTTCAAAAGTAAGATAGATGAGATGTGGTTAAAATAGATTATTAAGCTGATAGAGGGAGGCTGCCAGTGATTTAAATAATGGCCATCGACCTTCATTGTATGAATGACTGATGTTAGGCCAAGAAACTTTTCTTTGGATTTGAGTCCAAACCATTTGAATTTGCTCCCTAAAACAAAAAGGCAGAACTGTTATTAGTAAAAATGATTTAGGTTGCTGTACATGGCATTAGCCAACAGAAGAACTTGCAACATCAAGACTGGGAACATGAGCCGAGAGATTGAGGCTCAAAATTCATTTTTTGTTTCTAAAGTATTTCCGAGTTGGAGATTTCTAAATATGGCTGTCAGGAGAAAGAAATAAGGGTCCCCTGAGGCTGCAGCAGAGGAAGGACTGCAGACACAGACTCACCAGCATTCTGTTTCCTGCTTTTGATTTGATTTGATTCTTTACAAAAAAACCAGATAAGAATTGCTGATGCGCAGGCCTGCCTGGGAGCCTGTAATTTCTGTCTCTTTGTGATCTTGTGCTCTGCCATGGACATCAAAACACAGACCCCGGTGATGGGTCTTCAAGCCATAGGGCTACTGCCTTATTCCTGCTCACAGTAGCACAGGCTCTGGAAGCCAGATACAACCAGTCAGTTGACATTTATTTTTTACTCTTGATAAAGTGCTTTCTCATAGGTCAGGTTGTGCAAGAAATACAGCCCAAACTTGGGAATCCAACAGGGGCTAGAGGGGACCACATGCGTACCCCTGGACCCGATGTGACATCGCCATAGATCTGAATGTTTTCCTAATAGAATATAGGAGAATTTTACTTCTCTTTTCTTTCTCATTCTTCAAGCTTTCCCCATGCGCCTTAGTAACCATATATTTCATTTTCCACCCATCCAGACTCCTTGCTCCTCCCCGTTCGTTCTGGGGAGAACTCGTAAATGTCATTGGTCACAAAGCCACTCTCCACACTTGCCAGGGTCACGAATCCGCTTTCAGATGGGTTTACGGCCACGTTGTCATAGTCATAAGACAAGTCATCGGATGTGGCTTCTCCTGAACACACTCGGAATGAAATGTTCTTCAGGTCTGGTCGGGTCTCAGCTAAGTCAGCTTCACTTTGTTTTCGTATAACATTGTAAACCTCGAGGTTGGGGCTGTTCCCTTGGTGAGCAGTGGGCCAGATGGTGTGCGGCTCCTTTGTGCTGGGGTCAGGCTGTTCCCGTCTCCTAGGAGGGCAGAAAACCAGGGCTGAGTATTTTAGACAAGGGGATTGTGAGCATGCTGGTGCTTCCTGTGCAGGCCAGAGGAAGCCATCCCCAGCAGGCATGCACAGCCTTTCTCCCTGCCTAAACTTACAGGACTTTGGGCTGCAGTGGGAGCAAAACAGGAAAATGATGCTGTGTCCAAAGAGACTGTGTATCTATCATTCCCCGCTGGCAGGGTATAGGACAGGGCTCCCCAGATACCCCAGAGCATTCTTGAATTGAACTGGATGGGGAATCATACTCCATTTTAAGAACTCATGAGTGAAAGTTAGCCTGTCCTTCAATTATGAATGTAGGCAATATACCAGAGTAGGATGAGTAATATTCTTGATATGATCACTGACAGAAATCAGATGTTTTATCTCATATCACAATTAGTGTAGATGCCTTAAAATATGTTAAGCTCACTCTACATCAAAATTATAGCAATTATAACTTGGACTAAATAAAGAAACATTAAAAGAAGCATGTGTAGTACTGTAGCACATGTTCACTATTGGAAAGCTTTTTGAAACTATCAGATGTATAATTGCTTCCCTTGTAATCCAATGTATTTTATTTTATGCATTAAAAATATAATTCTGGGAAGAGGTCCATAGACTTCACCAGACTGCTATAGGGTCTTTGGCACAAAGGAGGTTAAAAATCCCTAAGACAGAGAAACACAATTCCCAGATGATGGTGGGGCACTAAATAGAGAGGGTAAGGAAGGGAAATTGAGAACCAACTGCAGAGCAAGCAGTTGGAAAATACATTTGTAATTTTTTGAACTGAATTCAATTTTTTGATGAAAAGGAAATATATAAAAAATGATCATAATGATAGCAGACATTTTTGAATGCTAACTAATGCCTATTCTGCTTGTATTTCCTGCTTAAATCCTTATCATAATCCTATTAGGAAGTTATTATTAAATGAAAGTAGCTTCTACATTGGAATCTTACCAATTCATCTTAAATTAATCATCAAAAGGAGTCGAATTTTCAAACTAGATCTGGATTTTCCTGTTGTGTAGTGGGACTACCAGTCTTCTTTCATGTATACCATGATGGGGAGTACAAGTTAACTGAGAAGGTCTCTGGGTACCTCCAAAACAATTACTTGTGATTCATAAATAGAGGTGCTCTAGGTGACTTAGTGTAGTGAATTTGTAGCAATCAAAACTTGTATAGTCAATGAAAACTCAACTAAAAATTTTAAAGGATTTGGTTATTTCATTTTGAATTAGGTGCCTTGGTTTCAGACATTTATTAAAATTCTTTGAAAACAGTTGTTCTTCATACTATTCACTATTCATTCCTTTACTCGCTCAACAAAACTTTTCAGTGAGAACATACATTCCCAAGAGCTGAGTGATGTGTGGGAACACAGGAAGTGTACAGAACAGTTTCACCCCTCTAATGGTTCAAAATCTTCCACCCACACAAAACAAAAGAGTCTAAGATCATACTCTCAATCACAACTCAGCACAAAAGCTTAGTACTTCTGAAGGCCCTGAGACACACAGAAATTACTCTCCAATCTGCAGTCACCATTCTCTTGCAGCTACTATAACTTTTAGTGAAACAAACTGGGCCATGCCCAGATCTCAGAGTTCAGAAGACACAGAGGTTTACACGATGAAGGATGTACTTGCCTCCTACAGCTCCAAACCAACATACAACTGTGAAGACCACAAGGAGGAGAGCAAGGGGGATGCTGGGTATCAGGATATAGGCAATATTCAAGGCAGCTTCTGAAAAGAAAAAAACACATGATCAGCATGGGTGATTTTCTAGGTGCTTCAAAACAGGTATAGAAAAGGCTTATCAACACAGAGTATTCCGAAGAGTGCTTTCCTATACAATACTAGTTAGCAAAGTCTTTCACTTTCAATAAATGAGTTTTTTTTTTTTTACCACTCCCATTATCTGAAGTAATAAAGAAAAGAAACTAAAATTTTTGGGCCTCTTGCAAAATATCAGAAGGGAACTTCTATTAATTCAGTTGTTTTCAGAGGAAGGAGATGCTTTTCTTGCCTTCCTTTCCCTTAACAAAGCAGTGTTGGTGCCTTTTACTCTAAAGACCAGGCACTTCCCACAATGGGCAAAGGGAGCAGGAGGAGGGAAAAAGAAACAAGACAAGAGTCTCAGTTTTTGCCAGGAAATAGACAGTCACTCACAACCCATGAGTCAGCCTGGAGAACCTTCCCACCAATTCTGACTATGACTAATAAATTCAGTTAGGCCCATGAACAGTGACCGTGAACAACACTTAAAGATTTTCTGTCTTAGCAAAAGAGACAATAACAAAAACAAAGAGAAACCCCACCAACTGGGAGAACATTTTTGCACCCAACACTAATGATAAAGGACTGATCACAAAAATCTGCAAAGAGCTGATGAGACTCAGCAACAACAAAGAAAATAATCCAGTCAAAAAATGGGCAGAAGAGCTAAAAAGAAACTTCTCTGAAGAGGAAATGCAAATGGCCAACAGACATATGAAAAAATGTTCAACATCACTTGTAATCAGGGAAATGCAAATCAAAACTACCATGAGATACCATCTCACACCAGTGAGAATGGCACATATTAAAAAAACTAGCAACAACAAATGTTGGCGAGGGTGTGGAGAAAAAGGAACTCTTCTGCACTGTTGGTGGGAGTGCAAACTGGTCCAACCACTATGGAGAGCTGTGTGGAGATTTCTGGACCTACTAAACATAGAGCTTCCATATGATCCAGCAATTCCACTCCTAGGTATTTACCCAAAGGACACAGAAACATTAATTCCAAAGAGTACCTGCACCCCTATGTTTATAGCAGCACTGTTTACAATAGCTAAGCTTTGGAAACAACCCAAATGCCCAAAGTAGATGACTGGATCAAGAAGATATGGTACATATATACCATGGAATATTACTCAGCATTCAAAAAAGATAAACACATGCAATTTGCAGCAACATGGATGGCGCTGGAAGGGATCATGCTCAGCGAAATAAGCCAAAAAGAAAAAGAAAAATACCGGATGGTCTCACTCATAGCAGGAATCTAGAAAACTTAAATAAGGGACCAGGAAAATGAATATAAGAAAGTGAAAATCAAAATCAACAAAAAACTATGAACCAGAGACACTTTTTGGGGGTGGGGGGCGGGAGGGGAAGGATTGGGGTCAGAATGGGGCGTTTGCAATTGTATGGGGGAATATAAAAATAAAAATTTAAAATTTAAGATTAAAAAAAAAAAAAGATTTGCTGTCTTGGAACTGGAGGGGATGAAATAACTCAGAAGGAGAAAGTACTGATGGTTTCACTTACATGTGGAATACAGAGAAACAAAACAAAAGGTCATACAAAATCAAACCAATAATAACCCTAGAAATATTACCGTGGAACTGAAGCTGCCAGAAGGGAGAGAAGACAAAGTGAGAGGGCCTAATGGATGATGGTGGAGGGCTATGGGTACCATGGTGGTGGGTGTGGTATGGTAACACACACCTGAAGGGTCTGCTGCTACAGTGTTCTAATGTTACCTCAACAACAACAACAACAAAAGAAAACAAGGCCTGTCATCATGGCTTTTTCTTGTCCTTTAAATTTTAGAACCAGACAAATTTTCCTTAAGGGACTTTGAGAGCAATCAAGGATTGAGGACTGACTCTTTTGCTACTTCCACTGGCTTATAATTCCTGAGCACCCAGGGGCTATTGCCTTTTTTCACCCCCATGAAGCTAAAAACCTAAAACTAAACAGAACAAAAACCTAAAATAAAACCCACTTTACATCCCATCACAGTTACAATGAGCAATTTAGTACTGCCCACATTTACACAGTGCTTTATACTTTTTTCAAAAAGCATCTTCATACATTATATTTGTTGGATAATGAATAATCTGAATGGCTCTTTTCTCTGGTTCCTGGAGGGAGGGAGATTCTTTGGAATTTCCCAAGTGACAGCAGTGGCTATGCTATTTAGGAATGGCTCAAGATCATATCAAGAGTTTACCCTAAGGAGATGTCTCAGGATGAGGGCTGGTAGGATGGGAGTTTGGCCTAGAGATCAAGTTTGATCACATAGCCAGTAATCAGCTCAGTCATGTAATGACATCTCAGTAACATCTCTGCACACCAAAGCTCAATGGAGCTATCTGATTGGTCAAAAACACTGATGTACCAGGAGGGTGACAATGAATTCACAGGGAGAGGACATGGAAGCTCCCCATTTTTAGGACTCTCCCAGATCTTATCCTATGTGTTTCTTCACTTAGCTGGTCCTGGTTTGTATCCTATATAACAAAGCATAATTATAAGTACAGTGTTTTTCTGAGTTCTCTGAGTTGTTCTAGTGAATTATTGAACCTGGGGGGATTGTGGGCGCCCTCTGGATTTGTAGATGAGAATTGTGGATGTCCTGAGAGCCTCTGAACTTGAACTTGTGGCTGATACCTGAAATGAGGCCAGTCTTATTGCGGACTGAGCTCTTAACCTGTAGGGTCTAGTATCAAAATTGGATTTAGTATTGCAATATTCAATTTCATCTTATAGAGTAGTAGTGCTTTTAGGTATGTGAGAAAAATATTACTTTCATTATGCAAATGGTTGAACTGAAGCACAGAGAAATTTAGTGATTTTTAAAAATTGTCCAGTGAGAAAAATCCAGGTATCCCTCTTGAAACTCAAGGTGAGAGTTGAAGTTGAAAGTTCATTAGCACCGCCAATTTATTAGCCCATTTTCTTTTATCTTTTATGATTAAGCTTTTTAAAAACATTTTTGCCCATTTTATCTATTTGTTTCACTAGTGAGTATTAATCATGGACATTATGCTTCTGGCCTGGGTCTTTCTGCTCTTATTTCTCCTTATCCAATCTCTTACTCCTTCCTTGTCTCCCCTCACTACCCTCTTCCCCTTCCTTTTCAGCTCCCCCACCCCATAACTTGGAGGCTCAGTCTTCATGCAGATTTTTCACCTCCTGTCTAGTCAAATCTCTCCCAATCATCTTAGGATAGCTCCATCTGCATATTTCACTGGTAAATCAATTTAACACAACACAATTTTTGCAAAGTCACAGATACCCTGACTAGTTCCATTTTTTAAGTAGCTTTGGGACAAAGCGAAGTAGGGGAAACTGTGATCCAGAGAGTCCCATTATCTGCCCTTCCCAGGTTCAACACATAACCTTTATTTTCTTTAAGTGTTTCTTTGGCATCTTCTTCTTTCGTGTGTCTCCTGGAAGCATGGGTGTTACTGCCTTTGGCCCTGCACCTGGAGAGACATGCAGACTTGAGAACCTGGGAGAAAGGCATAATCCAGATATTTCTGGCATCCTATCAAAAAGCGGCAGCAGCGTGACCAGAGACATTTATAAACACAGAAGAAAGTTAAGGCGGATTTGCTGACCTCGAGGTTTAATTCTTCCTGATGAGACTTTTGCTGCCAAGAATCAGGTCCTGAAACAATCAACAGGCCACTGGCATCAAGAGACATAAAGTAGTGCAGCCAAAGGAAGGCCAATAACTCCCTTCTCGAATTATCAGTTACCAGTTTGGCTCTCTTCTTGTCTCTAGATCGAATCATTCCTTTTATAGAGTCAATAATGATGAGTAATACCCCCAAATGTATTTGCAACTGTTGTTTTTTGGCTTTGAGAGAAATAGGCAGCACTAGAAAGTTAGATTCAACAGCTACTTGTGCCATCTACCTGTGCAAATGGTCTCCTTTAACACCAGCGGTCTTTCAATTGAATAATTTAGTTTAAAGAACCTGTGGTACTAAACCTGTGAAGAGAGGCTGTGAAATAGCCCAAATGAATCCAAATCTCAAAGGGCTTACCTCCTGGCCTTGTAGAAGGAGCTGTTGGTTTCTCTGTAGCAGAAAGAAACAAAAATGAAGGTAACTAAATTTCCATGCCACCTTAATAAAACTGGCCAAAGCATGGCATCTGTTTATTTGCTCATACATAGCCACAGTACACACCAAAAAATCTACATTAATATTCTATCAGCTGATCTGCAGCCCTCATTCAAATTCTTCCAATTGTCCTACTAATGTCCTTTATAGAACATCACCATCCATCGTCCAATCCAAGATTACCTGTTCCTCTTAGTTGTTACAGAGAAGGTAATATTTAGCCTGAATTTGAAAGGTGAGAGTGAGTTAACTGGGAAGGAGTGGGGATGTTGCAAGCACTAGAAATAGCAATTAAGCGCTCTTGGGGGAACTTCATAGAGTGCAAAGGGGATCAGGCAGGGGACAGGAGGAAGAGTTGTGAGAATTCAGACCAGAGAGGCAAGAGTCTCATTGTGTCCATTCTTTTATAGCATGTTGAGGTGTGTAGACTTATCTGGAGGAATGGTAGCCATGTAAAGGCAATGTGCTCATTTTTCTCCATGTGCCCCTGTCCCTCCTGGGTCTATTCTCTGTCCCTCTCTGTGTCCTGGGAGGCTGACCTCTATGGATGGTGTCATTGGGGTGCTCTTGTCCTTTGGCTTCTGATTGAACTTAACCAATGGGGCAGAAACAGGAAATTAGAGGATAGAAGGAGAGGGAGGGCCTGGTATTTATTCTCTCTGCCTCCTTCCCAGTCACCAGGGTTGATAGTAGCCTCATCCTCTGGCTATGTAGCTCCTTGGGTAGCTCCACTATAACTTCATGCTTTCGTGAGGGTCTGCTAATCCCCTTGCTCCTCAAGACTGGGGAGTGGTAACAGCTTCCCATTGTAGCTAGTCCCTAGGCACTTCACCATCTCAGACTCTTTGCCTGTCCTCCTGCAAATATCCTTCTATGATACTCTCCTCCTTAAATTCCTCTGCGTGTGCCATCTTTTTCCCTCTGGGATTCAGATACTAAGCAAAAGTAATAACAAATATGATTAAAAGACAAACAAACCAGGTTTGAATTTCAAAAATAAAAGGCTGAGGAAATGTCAAAATCTCACATTTAAAAATGTTTTAAAAGTATGGCATTTTAAATCCTGAAGCTAGCAGGAGAGAGTTAACAGAAGCGCTGGAGAGCCAGCTTGTGACAATGCCTTGCTTTCATTCTTCAGTAAAGGGGACCCACTAAACCAGCTACAGTTTTTGTAACCTCCTTGCTGGAAACAACTCTCTTTGGTGGGGAGGGTCAGGTCTCTGGAAAGATTTCATTTCAGAGGGTGAAGAAGGTAGAAAAAACACCTTTTAGCACAAGCATTGCAGCAACAACACAGTCACAGACAAAAAATTTTAAAATGACAGGATTATCTACTCCCCAACCAGATCTAACTAACAGATGGTTCTATTCCTGTCAGGAAAGGATGCAAAATAGGGGCCAAGCATTTGTCTTTGGGGGATATGAAAACTTCAGGAACAGTTCAAAAATCACTTTGTGTTTAGATCTAAGTCAGTTATCATGGAGGAGGGACATTCTGGCAGAGTGACACTTTGGGCTTGTAGCCAGTTCAAAACATTGAACAAATCTAGAGGCAAGTGCCAGTTGAATTTGCAAGGCGTATATTCGGGATGACCAGGGAGTGTAACCTGCTGTCTGTCCAAGCTAATGAAGTTGGTGTACTTTATTATCTACCTTATTATTCTGACTCCTTAAAGTTCCAGAAAATAATCTCATGGTGGTTAGAAGACTTGCAGGTACAATGAGCAGCTTTCCTTTCATCTTTCTTCTTTATTCCAAGCACCCACAGCTAACTTCCCATATGGAAAGAATAAGAATTTGTGACTGTCCACTTAGAGGGCATTTCATTTCCTGAAATTCTCATAATTCTTGCCCTCTCATACATAAATTAGACCCTTTCTTTTCTTCATCCCTTCAGGTAGCATCTGGTACCCCTTCCATTGGTAGAATTATGGCTCATGAGGTGTTACTGCATTTCTCTTGATGAGAATTCCAGATGTTTCACATTGCCCACATTTGCCATAAACTTTTTCAGAGACCATATTAACACATTTTCAGAGCTAGCAGCTGCTTATGAAATGAGAAGAGGACAAGAATCCGGTCACATAACTTGAAAGAGGATTCATTACCATCGGAATATTTGCAAATGAAATTGTTTTCATGTTGCATCGTCTCATCATTCCATTGGAACCTGTAGGGACCC